AGATGATGAGGGGCCTGGAGCATCTGCCTTACGAGGAGAGGCTGAGAGAGCTGGGACTCTTCAGCCTGGAGAAGAGAAGACAGAGAGGGGATCTTATCAGAGTCTATAAATATCTGAAATGTAGGAGCCAAATGGATGGGACCGGGCTCTTTTTGTTGGTGGCTGGTGACAGGACAAGGGGCAATGGGCACAAACTGGAACACCGGAAGTTCCAGAGAAACTTAAGGAAAAACTTCTTTACTGTGAGGGTGACAGAGCACTGGAACAGGCTGCCCAGGTTGGTTGTGGAGTCTCCATCTCTGGAGATGTTCAAAACCCGCCTGGATGCAGTCCTGTGCAATTTGCTCAAGGTGAACCTGCTTTGGCAGGGGGATTGTACTAGATGATCTCCTGAGGTCCCTTCCAACCCCTACTATTCTGTGATTCTGTAACTTCTTGCTTGATTTTCTTTCTTCTTGAAATATATGCCAACTTGTTATTTATCCTTATTTTTGTCTGAAGGAACAAATCATAAAATAAATATATGAAAGAAGATAGTTAAAATGATAAAGAAGACCAGTTTTTAAAGGAGATGCACACTGTTTTGTGACTCATTTTGCCTTATGCGAGAATATATTTATTTTGTCAGTCAGAACAGTAGAAGCTTTAGTGTAGATTATAACAAGCAGTAAGTCCTTTGTGAAGACAAGTGTAATAAATGAGCTGTATAAATTTCTTTTCCTTGTAATCTCTATGGTTTTTATTTTAGCTACCCTCTATGTAGATGAACTGAGATCAGTTCAAGAAACATGGTCTTAGAGACTTCTCACTCATAGCCAATCTGTAAAGAAAAGGCCACAGTTGATCTGTTATTAGAGTATCCTGGCATGCATTAGAAAGAGCATGGCCAGCAGGTCAAGAGAGGTTCTCCTCCCCCTCTACTCTGCTCTGGTGAGACCATATCTGGAGTACTGTGTCCAGTTCTGGGCTTTTCCGTTCAAGACGACGGGGATCTTCTGGAGAGAGTCCAGCGGAGGCCACAAAGATGATGAGGGGCCTGGAGCATCTCCTTTATGTAAAGAAAAGGCCACAGTTGATCTGTTATTTCTTTGAGTAATATATTTTCTTATTTTTTCCATTTTCAGCCAGTTACAACAAGAGTTTGTAGAAACAGCAAATTGAAAATTTGAAGCATCTTCAATGCCATCTAGGCCTTCAGGGTCATGTTATACATTAGAATTTTTTTTCTTCTCTAGAAAAGGAATCTTGGATGAGTATAGCCAGATCACCAGTCTTGTAACAGAAGAGATTGTGAATGTGCATAAGGAGATCCAGACCTCGGTTGAACAGATAGACCCTAACTCTGAATATAATGACTTCATAGATACTCACAGGTATACATTTACATCTTGGTGTGCATGTGCATGTTTCTTCTTGAGAAAACCCTACGTTAAACTGCAGCATTGCTTAGGTGAACAGGGTTGAATTTGTGTGTGGTTCCTTTTACATTGTTACTTGTAAAACTTTATCCTATTTTGAAAACTGTTCAACTTGCATGTACAGAAAGCTGGCTGAAAGTCACATGTTTAACCTGTTTCTTTAACCATCCATCTTTTTGCCTGGCTCTAGAAAAACAAAATTCCAGTTACTGTTATTATATGTGAAGAACCATGACTTCAGTACTGACAGTAGACTATACATGACATTCCAGATTCAGTGTGAGCTAATTTACTGTGTATTTGGATGCAGTTTACATTCTGGGCTAAATTAAGTTTCTCTGCCTTATTTCTCTTATTGTCCAAATTCTAGTTTAAAGTAAACTCTAGGTACCTCTGTGCAGTCTGCAGTAATTAATTGCAGGTGGAACAATGCCTGAGACCTCAGAGTATGCAGATAATGTGAGAAAGTTTTTTACTTTAAAATAAACTGTATTAGCCATTTATTGAACTGCTACTCTGTATTTTTACATGCAGAAGTAGTCCTAAGACTTATTGCTTTATCTTTTCTGTTGTTTTGTGCGAATTGATAATTGTTACGTGCACGTTTGTTTATAGCAGGATCAGCTAAGAGTAGACCTGTTCACATTAATACCCTCTGAGAACCTTGGTTATGCAATGATCTTGATTCAATAAATTGTATGCCATTTTGTTATCTGGTATGATTTTAAGACTATGTTCTTTATTCAAAGGAAAAAGAGTTTGCATCCAATTTCTATTTCATATTGTGTTGCATAATATTTCATATGTAATTTTAACTATATTCTAGTTATTAAAATAATTCAAAATATAATTATTTACTTTATGATCTACTTGAAGATACATCTTAATTTTCAAATTAATTCAAATACAATATTTATTTACTAAATTAGGTCATCAGAAGTTATTGAACAAGAAATAGAATTTGATACATCTTTACTAGAAGAAAATGAGAACCTTCAAGCTAATGAGATCATGTGGAATAATCTAACAGCAGAAAGTTTACAAGTCACGTAAGTCTTTCTTTGCAAACCTTTCATCCTTTGGAAATGCTATTTTCAAAGCCTATATCTAGGCTCCCTCAGATCATCATGTAGCTGTGTCCTTATTTGTAAGGTCCAGTTTCTAAACGTAATGTTTTCACATTATAGCCTTTCCATGCTGGTTTTGTTGCTCCATTGCACAAAACACTCCTCCCAAGTACCCCCCAAAACTTGCCAGCACTTTCAATATATGTTCCTCTCCTTACCAGTTAATTTATACAATGCCCCAAATCTGTCATGAATCTTCCTTGGTAACATTCTGATTCATCTTTCCAAAAGTGTTTCCACATTCGATACTCTAGGAAAAATGCTGAAGTTT